ATATACATATATTGCACAATATATTTGTTTGCGTATATATGTACATATATATATATATATATCTTATTTAATTCATTTCATTATAATAATATTCTTTCATTATCTTTATTATGTTTCAGATCGTAATTCTTACACGCCGCTATCCATGTTTGGCTGCCGGAAGTGGTCTTATTCTATCATACTTTCCATTCTCCTAATATCTACGGATCTTTGTATATCCAACGTGACTTTCCATTGCGTGACAATGGGAGCTTTTCGTCGCGGTATCCGCCCATCTTCTCTTTCACTTTTCATCGATCCCTAAAGAGAGGAGGTAGAAAAAACAGCGAAAACGACGAGAAAGATCCGCGACTCGATCGCGAAACCGCTTTATTACTAGAAATATTATATGATAAGGAGCGTGGCACAGTTTTGACGCTACAATCGTTCACGAGGCTGGCCACGATCGAAGAAAATGGCGTCGCGGGGACGCGACGAAAAGCGCGGGAACGCTTTAACGAATGAAGGAGATATCCAGGAGTCGCAAACACTGGAAAATATCGAGAACTAAATACGTAGCAATACCTAGCACAGGAAGCAATTAATTCAAAAATGAGGAAACATCGATAAAATTGTCGCTTTTTGTCAATCAAGCGACACAAATGGCTGAGATTCTTAAAAAAAAAAAAAAAAAAAAAAAAAAAAGAACAGCGAATCTTAAAAAGAAAAGTCGATATACATAATATAATATAAAACACAAAAAGTTATATTGCAAGGAACCGACTGATTAAAATTAATTAAATATCTATACTTTGACCAGAGCTATAATTATGTAATGAGGGGTAAGTGGTCTTCGTACGAAGAGGCCGCAAGAATCATAAAGGAATTATAGTTTGGCACTGATACCCGTCAGCTTGAACTTAACACGTTCGCAAAGCTGGAGAGAACCAGCATTGGGAAGTCACGTATTCCTATTCGATCCTATTGTTGATGGACTTTATGGCACATCGAATATCTTTCTTAAAACGCTTTGATTCCATTTCGAAACTATGGCGTCTCTTGCCTTATGCATCCAGCATACCTTCGATAAAAAGAAAAGAGAAAGAGAAAAAAACAAAAACTACAACGTAACTACGAAACAACACTAACAATTGTCCATCATTCGACTGATTCGAAATATTTATACCTTTTCAGAGACTACTACAAAAACTCCACTTCCGACACCAGGTACAAGCAGCGTGTGGCTGTGGCCCAGACTTACGTCGGATAGTAGCAAGAACACACATTAAAATCATAGAAGATCAACGACGCTATTAGACGTGTTATGCAAGTAGCTATCCGCTTTATTTTCCCTTTAATTTTCTACAAACCATTTCACTTGGTTCATCAAAGGATATCAGATCTGCGGATGCTCTGATTGGCATTTCCATTTTTTTGTTTTTTTTTCTAGTTTATCATTCCTCGTCTCGTTTCTTTTGTCTGGTGCGCCGAATAACCAATACACAATATGAATACATATACACACGGATTGGTCGAGCGTTTTCCTTTTCTTGGTCTCTCCTCGAGGTATCCTTATTTTTGTGTTATTTTAAAACGCCTTCCTCTCCTCTCTTCAGATTTACGCATCACACGTCCAAAAGGAGCACACATGTCATGGTTTATCAATGTAATAGTATATAGTATGCGTTATAGATTCTTCATGCGCGAGCGAGGCCCACGAAGCCTTCGCGAGATTCCCCTCTGTCTCGTCGAGCGTGCCATTTTGCCATCGATCCCTCTCATCATTCTCATCTCTTTACAATACAGGAAAGATGTAGAACTGTCCAGTGGATATCGTACGAGCGAAACGATCGTCGTCCATGACGATAGTTGACAATCGATTATGCATTATTAGAATCGGCGAACGAGATTTTAAAATACCACCCGGGTAGATTGGTCGGGATGCGAAGTTAAAACTCTTGGAAGATGTTCAGTGAGTAATTATAGGTCGAGGTTAAAATTCTTAGATTCGAATATAATGTATATGCGAATTCTTTTAGGATGAAATGTTGAACGACTTGTGTTAGTTTAAAGAGAATTCCCGAATGTTTAGAACATTGATGGAGATTCTCTCGGGAAAGATAAGTTCATTACGAATTGATGGGAGGTAAGAGGGAAGATTGTTAGGCTGTATTCCTTGGAAACCTTGGTCCATGATCGGCACCAGCTAATTCTTAGTTGGAACGATGATATTTCATTACATCTTATTTCTTACTCATTACTATACAGGATCATCTGATCCTGATCTAAAATAATTCAATTATCTAAACTTAATTATTCTTCTTGACTAGGATCGATTATTCTACGATGGCATTATTCCCTCGAAAATCATTTGAAATTTCACCAATGGAATCAGCTGGTCCAGGATCAAAAGCTATCGACAATTTTTGCTGGAATACAGGGACGAATATAGAACTATTCGCATCATAAAAAAACGATTTGGATACGATGGATCTCCGATAAACTCGTTAAATTCATTCCAAAACAACGTGCTGCTACCGCGGAGGACGCGTAGTTCCGTTTCCGGTGGGCGGAAAACGACGCGCTCGACGTGCGATGTTTCCTTTATTCGTGCCGCGAGAACCATCATCATCAACGTGTATCGATATCGATAGTAATGATGATCATCATAGTAATAATTAGTAATAATAACCATAGTAATAATAATCATAATAATAATCATAGTAATAATCATAATATTAATTAATTAATTAATAATATATTTATAATATATATGCGTATATTAAATAAATTCTCCGATATAACTTACGACTTAATCCTAAAGCTTAGCTCGACTTAAGATTTAAGTAATCCCGCCACCATTTTTTTTTTTTTGCGCGCGGGGGGATGCCCGTGCACCCTCCAGGGCGAACTCCTTAAGAACCTAGTGAATCCTAAAACCGGAAGCTCCGCCATATCGACAGGCCAGCTGCCTTTAAATTTTTCTTTTCTTTCTATTTCACTTCCCCTTTATTCTTCCCCTTTTTACTTAATTTTCCCTTACTACTTCTTCTTCTTCTTCTTCTTCTTCTTCTTCTTTATTTTTCTTTTCGTCGCCTCTCTTTTTCTCCCCCTACGTATTTTCGTTTTTTTTTTTATTTTTTCATCGCTTATACCTCATTTCTGTTTTATTTTATATATATATATATATCTATATTTTCTTTGGCGGAGACCGCTCGTCCGTGGTTTTTTCTTTGTCTCTTGCCTCGATCGTTACTCGCCTCGCGTACAGAAAATCGAACAACAACAGTCCCCTACCCGTTCCCGCCTTCGCTCGATCCGAGAAGAACAATTTCCCACCCTTACATACTTATTTTACATATAATACGCTTTCCCTACCACCAACAGGATCCCTGATAAAAAAATCGGCGAATCTAAAGCGCGATACGCTTGCTCCTTTTTGCTCCGTGTCTACGCGCGTTCAAGCATCATCACGAAAGAACACTTGAAAACGAAACTCCGTTCCTCATCTTCGTTTTCCTCTTCATCGCCAACTTCTCCATACTTGCATACTTGCATATTTCAACGGAATATCATTAAATATACTTTCGACGTATAAACGACATCTTCGATCGCATACACACGCATACACACGGAGATCTCGCTTTTCTCCTCCTCGTACAAACAAGCTCGCTCGCTCCAGCGCGGCTAAACGGCTCCTAAGTCGTGATCCAACGCGGCCACGGATCGTAGAGCGGTGAAAGAAGATCGTACGAGTCGTCGTCCGCAGGCAGGAAGAGGACAAAAGAGACGAGGGCACGCCGGGCGTGCAGCTCCTCCCGGCAGGTGAACGCTTCGCCTCGTTTTGGACGCGAGTTGAACGAAGCCGGGCGACCGATTGTCGAGCACCTCCATCGTCGTCCTGGCCACCTGTCGCAGCAGCGGTTGCCGAGACGCGTGCAGCATACGCGACGACGACGACGACGCTCGTTGTTCCCTTCACGCACTCCTCCGCATCTTCCATCTCCGCCTCTTCCATCTCGCGATCGATCCCCTCGCGGTGGACGTTCCTCCTCGGGATGCCACTTCCTTCTCGACTCGACGAACGGCACGCTGGCGACAACAACCGGGGGTGAGAGACGAGCGATGGTTTGGATCTTTCGGCGGTGGCGGCGACAGCACTGGGACCTTAACACCCATCCTTGCCACCTGAAAAACGTGCAACGCTGCTGGCTTCGTCTTCGTTCCACCATCGCTTTGTCGACCGATATGTGAACATCGATATGTCGCATCGTGAACATTGAGAGTAATAATTTTCAAGAGTGGATTCAGTGTTCCCTAGGAATGGAACGAAACGCGAAAAATTGTTCTTGTGATAATCTTTCGTGATAATATTCAAGCTGTGAGATAAAGAAATTCGGTGTGGATATCGTATTTCTTTTGCAGATAAAATTTGGAGGATTGAAAATAGGTTTTTCCACTGTTAGAAAATGATTATACAATTTTTTTTCGTTCCATCCTAATGTTCAATGTTCATCGTTGATGGCGTCGAAAGGAAAGCCAAAGATTTTGATTGATAATTGAGATTGATTGACATTAATTGAAATTGAATGAAATTTTCTCTGTAACTCTTAACGATCAAAATCTTTGATCCCGAAACAGATGAATGGTGAATGATGAATTCCATTTGATACGAGACATAATTTATAAGGTTGCAGAGGGTAGAGGAGTTATTTGATTCCCCAAAATATTCTAATTTCTAGGAATGCGTGTCACTGCAAAGGATTTATGGATGATTATTCGATGGAAAAGCCTTGGTCACCTTTGGGGAACATGGAGAAATAACTGTGCTTGAAATTGTGCGAGTCTATCGATCTCTTTGTACGGCTTTGCAGTCTTGAGCATGCAGTGAATTTCATACGAATAGGAATCATCTATTTCAACCGAATCTTCGAATGAATTGTCCTTTTAACCCTTTCTTCAACAATGTTTTAATTAATAAAGACCAATTTTAATCATTGAGTAAAAATTAGAGAAAAATAAATGCAAAAATAAATGCTAGATTTTTCTTTTTGATGAGGAAACATATTTGATTAGTACAAATTTTTATGGAATTCTTAATTTTTAATCCTTTCGTGCAACGGTTATATACCTTTCATTATCAATCTTGGCTGTTAACGGCCATCAAGCCTGTTCTCAGTCCTCGAAGGATTGATAATAACGGCCACAACTACTTTGTTTCCAATTCTGTTGAGCAACGGACAGTTACTGACGTGAAGACAATATCGCTCAAACTTTGATGAATGTTAGTAAGTTTACCAAAGTTTTGTAGTTCGAGGAGTGAGAGCTACTGCCTTGTCTCATTTTGATACACTAATTTGTATTTCTAACGAGGAACAAGCCACTCTTACGCGTAGCTTCCTGATTAATTACAATCTCGATATACAATTTTTATTCTATTCTATTTTTATTCTAATTATATAATTGAATTTATCGTTGACTAGATATCGTTGGAATTAATTCATCATAATAATTTCATCACTTGTATTAGATACGATATATTTATCAATATTCGACAGTGCTTTGCTATTTATAAAATTTCTTTCAGCATTGTCAGCATTCTTTATTGAAAGGATTAAAAATTTTGTTCAGGAATGCATAATGGAATGGAATACCTGTACGCCATCAACGATGATGTAATAACAAGAAGAATGATGCGGCTAGCAAAGTGTTCCCCACGTGGGTCGACACTCGTGCAACACGCGACAGGAAGCTGTGAATCCACTGTGTGTCGATTGTACTACCTCTCCAAGTTAGTCCCATAACCAAGTTGCAAGTTAATCGCGACACAATAAGATGAACGGATAATTGTTCTTTTTCTTTTTTTTTTTTTTTGGTTGCGTATCGTGCATGAGAGTTAATCAGTGTACAATATCGAGCTGTTTTATTATAGTTTTCGATACACGATCACTCGTGGAACTTATTTCGTTCATTCTTCAATATAATCTACTATTCTTTATCCAAACGAAACAAAAAAGGCCTTGTCGTATGCTATTTCTTTCACCGATAATATGTTTTTGATCGGCTGCTCCTCACCATTTCTCTTACGAATACTCGGCCCATTCGATCGATCGACGAATTCTCGTTCAACCAATTCTCGAACGACAATCGTTCATCGATCGTCCATGGAATCCTGCGAATCCTGTTATCGCATATCGGCAACAGGGAGCCACGCGGGGGCCGAGAATTCTGATCTAAATCGGAGCAAAGATAGAAAATCGAGAAAGAGAGAAAGTTTGGAAACTTTCTCCCTGTTCAGAATCATCCACGTGGGTGTGATGTGTACCTTGATTGGACGAGTGTGAGGCTCACGATTGCGGTTGCGGTGGGCATGGCTCTCGCTTCTCTGGCATAACCGGCGGCTTTATCACAGGCTTCTCTTCGGTTACTGGCGTGGGTGGAGCGTCCTTTCTTGGCGGCATCCTTTCGTTTATAGCGTCCAGACCCTTCGCCTCGGCGAACGAAGTGATTTTGTGGTTCGGCGAGAAACCTTGGAGAGCTGTGAACAATAATTCAACCGTCGAACAGTGCAATTTTAGGACATACGGGGATCAGATTTGTCCTATTTTTATCCTTTGTTTCGTAATCAAATCGTATTTTGTTTAATCCATTTTATTATTATATCTGCTATATACGTTGATCGATCACTTACCGTTTTTTAGCGACGTTTTGCCACCCGATAACGCACCAAGAGGCAAAGCTCCAGTGGGCGTGAGCCCCTTCAATTGTAACACACTCTCGCTTTCCTCTCTGGAAGATCGAGACAAATTACAACGATAAGCAAATCGTATTGAGAG